CCCCAAAACCCCAAAACCCCAAAACCCCTCATAATACGCATACATTTGAATAATAATAAAATGGCTGAAGAGACAGGCTGAAGGATCAGGGAGTATTATAAGAAAAAGTGCACGATTAAGTGGATTATAGCGTGGGATATGGTCAGAGTCCTTATCCCTATTTTTTATTTTGGAATCGCTCTCTTGATTGTTATTCTTGATGAGAATGAAGATGATGAAAGCAATGATAACAGCATTATCAATAGCTCTAAAATAATTCCATCTTCAACAAAAGCAGCATCTGATTCGAATGATCAGCTCGTATCTCTTTCCTTTCTACTTGGGGAAGTATTTAGAACTTTCCTCATATGAATCATGGCGATTGTAGCTCTCTGTAAACACTTTAAATATATGCCAACAGGTACTTATTTTTGGACAAGGTCAATTAATAGTTGATTCAATATAATGAGCCATCTGTTCCAGTTCTTAATTCTGGGAGCTAATATATTCAGACTTGTAGTAACAACAGGCTCATTCATCTTCGATGGCTATTTAAGTTATATAATCTATGTTTTTTGGCAAAATCTCAAGAAATTAAATAACTCAACAGCTAGCAGCTCTGCTCAGAGCGAAATCAGCCATCCAATTGAAAACTGAATCAATGCAAGAGTAAGACAGCTTCAGGAAGAAATTAGAGCTGGGATTGCCAATGACGTTTTGGAAATCCAGGAATATGATGAAAATGGAGTACCTCACACAAAAGCAGTCAGAATTGATGAAGAGAATAAACAAGTAGTGATTGAATGAGCTCTTCCTTCCCTTAAAGATCTAAATCAATACAACTCTAGAGAACTATCATCTAGGGATAATGCATCAAGAATTACTGCTTTCCTTGAAGATCGGAAAAAGCCAATGTCACGTAAAGCTTCTTATGAAAATGGTAAATTGTTTTATATATTTCCTAAATAAGCGTGGAGCTTACTCCAAATATTAAATTGGCATTTTGAATTTTCTAAAATATCAGCTTCTGGCTAAAATTAGCTTAAAAATCAATCTAGAAATCCAAAATTCAGAATACAACAGTAAGCCAAGCTGTAAGTACCTTTCTGGGATCTAGTACAGGCCTGGATGGATGTTCTACTCCGTGGTTTCCGATCAGAATAGACAACATGCTTTATTTATAGTCAAAGGGAGCAACAAGAAAGATTTCATATTCACCTCAAACCATATACAGATGGTCGAGAAATCGAATAAAGATGAAGATGAAGAGAAGAAAGCCAGGATGTTCAGGACTAATGATGCCAAGAAAATTTCAAGCATAATCGGTATGGCGATTTCTCTTTATTAGAATTACCATATAGGCGCTAAGTCACCATATTCAGGTCATGAGAACAGCTATAAGGAGAAGGAGAAGGAGAATAGCCATGACGGCTCTATTAGTGAGGTGAAGGAGTATGCTGAGCCTGAAATTTACCTCGATACCAAATCTCAAACACAAAATATCAAGAAGAACTTATGAAATTCACCAGCTGTCCTCAAGAACAGGCGATTTCAAGTGGAAAGTGAAATCCCTCGAACTAAGAGTAAAGATCAAGCGATGAGCTTGAAAAGCTTCAAATTTACTAACCAAATGGAATGAATTGAGAAAGATGAGGTATATGATGAACCGAAAAGATGTGATATCAGCTCTGATGAAAATGACTAAAATTATACGTAAGCTCTAATTTTTATTAATAGTTCAATATTAGTCTTTTGAATAGGGGTTTTGGGGTTTTGGGGTTTTGGGGTTTTGGTG